ACAGGAGCAGTTAAATTGGTAGATACACATGGAAGAGGCGAAATTAGGCAGTTTGTCTTTTACTCCCGAAAGCAAAAGAGGAGTGGTTTTGAAGATACAGCGTAATTCGGCAGCTGGGAATGCTCTTTTTACCGCATTTCTAAGGCGCTGTGTTAGTATCTCACTGGTGTTGTCCTCAAGGAACTTCATTTGTATGAATAGGGCCTTTTTTGGAACTGTTGGTAACTTGGGCTGCTTTGGTTTTAGATTCATATTCTTATCAATAAACTTTTCAGGATAACCATTTTCACTTAGCAACTGTTTAATATTATTAAGTTCTTCATCAAGACATTCGTCCGAGCAAATTGCTCTTGCTCTATGAACCAAGCACTATGGATTTCATTGATGGATGACATGTTTTGGAAGGCATAACATATGTCCTAGCCATCTCAGTCGATGTAACTTCACAACCTAATTGATTGATTTTCCCTGCTTACCTATCACTCGACACCTAACTCCAATATTAATCACCCTATTATACCAACTAACAGGGGAGATAGAACGCAAGCACCTATAATCAAAGACAGCTTGTCAGGCGTTTCATGTCTTTCACTTCCAATGACCATGTCTAACTCACAGCCACCCATGAACGAGGATAGAGCAAACTGCAGAGCAGTACACACGCCTTTTGTTTGACAGCTGGATATCACGTCTACTAAGTCAGAGATGGCGTAAGTTGGCATATGCGAAACAAGCCTTCTGTATCCGTGCTGAGATTTCGTCAGTGATCAACCCGCTGGCGTTGGCTGATGCTATTTTCCAAATTAGTGAAATGGTCAACACGCTCAGAGAACACAACCATAAATCAAAATCATCCACCTGATCTAGACATTTCTTTTGTTCTCCGACGAAGATAGAAATAGGGACTGAACATACTTCTTTTGTATACGTACGTCTTGCTTGGATTCATGAATAGCCAAGACCTTTGCTGTTTTTTGAAATTCTAGAATGAAGAAAATGTGGCAAGTCAGTTTAAATTCGATAGATGACATCAAAACCATAGCCTGGGTTGGTTGAGTAAGAGAAGTCGACCACGTATACTGAAACAGAGCTTGCCCCCACCACGCCCCTCCTTACTCCCTTACAAAATCTATTTTATCGCTTGATACTGAACTATGATTGTAATTAAAAAATTTTATTTCCGACTGATGTACTTTCATCGCAATCCTGATTTCGCCTAGAGCATTCATCACTAGAATCTAATTAAGATTGAAATAGTTGAATTCAATATCAATTAAGAATCACATCCATCATATACTTTTTTTCTGAGAGGAAACTATTTTAATGTTTTTGAAGACAATTCAATCGCTTTGTTCACTTCTCTCTAATGTCTAAAACATGCTAGGGAAGTTATTGTTTTCATTTAAGAAAGATTACTGCTTAGTTGGAAAACTTTGGAATATTCGACAGCTGTTTCGTCCCTGTTTATGACTCGTCATCAGTACGCACCCACCGTCATCAGGGTTCGAACCTAGGACCTTCTGGTTACAAGGCGAGCTAGCTCGTAAACCATTCAGCAGCCACTGAGGACCTATCCAATGGCCAGTCCATGAATTCCAACTTCTGCCAATTCATGACATAGCGCGACCACTTCTCAATGTCTTCTGAGATGAGTTACTGCCTCACGTTCAACCTGCTGTACCCTGCAGGTCACGGCTTCCCACTATAACCCCAGGTTAACTGCCTGAATAGGGCCGGTAGATAGTGAGCATCAGTGGATCGGGTCCTAGTTGATTAATGGTCTACGAGCTCGCCTTGTAACCAGAAAATCAACCCTGGCGACGGTGTGTGCGTAATGTGAAGAGTCCCAAACTAGGACGAAATCACTGTCCAGCACACCGAGGTTTTCCATTGCTTTTGTCTATTGATAATTTTAAAGGATTTCGCGATTTCCACCTCAAGACCGGTAACGAGGAGATGTCTGGTAATAGCGATATCATAAGAACTTGTTCCCTTGAGCCGTAGGCTTTTCGACACATGTTCAGAAAATCAAAGGTGTGCCCTTCTTTCTGTTCTCCCTATGTAACTGCTCTCTCAGATACACGTAAATTTGCATACATAGTTGGAATTAACATGAGAAGAGTATCTGTCGACTTTTGACTGCACCAAGAAGCCTGTTGTGGGATAGACGGGAACCAACTAAGCTTCAGGAGAGGCTCTGTCTAGTGACATCTTCAATCTTCTGCTGATTATTTCTGCAATATTTTCACCTCTGAAATCAAGTTGAATGAACACAGGCTTTTTTTCAACTGTGATTTGTTTGATGTTTGAGCCTCCACATCTTTCATATTTGTTAATGAATCTATGAGGGTAACCGTTGTTTTCCAACATCTTTTCGGGAATCATAAATTCTTCCTCTAATTTCTCTACAGAGCATATTCTCCTAGCTCTATAGTTCACAGTCTTGACTAGTGCTCGTTTAAAGCTACTTGGAGTGCTCTGAATATAATTTCGATGAATGATAAATTACAAGTATAAATTATACGAACTGTGATCAAGACTTGACTGAATAATTCCACAATAATTGGGTGCCCAGTGGTAAGCTTATCCGAATTTCTTCAAGGGAATTAATCGAAATTAAAATAACAAAGGTATATGTATACATATAAGGCCACATCTTGCCCAGCTTTGTAAGTCACGATACTGTTGTCTGCACTCAAGCAGTCCTCTGACTACCCATGCCTCTGAAAAGTTTATCAAGAAAGAGTAATCTAATGAAGAAACCTCTAGTTGAACTTATCCAAAAGAAAAAATGGGTAGCGAGTCCAGAGTCTTCGGAGAGACTGTTTTAGCCTTCCTTAGTAATCGTAACAGTAGTTGCCCCGTCACACTGTTCATTATGTCCAGCTAGCAAGCTGAATAATCCACAATCAGGATAATTAGAGCTGTAAAAATAAAAGGCACAACTAATGTCTCTATAAGTAGAAACAGTAAGCTGAATGCTTTCTTGTTAGTTCAAATTGTAGACAAGAGAAACGCAAATCATAAATAGTTAATAGGATATCGATTTAAAGTCAGACACAATTAAACGTTATTAGGAAACTCTCTGGATTAATAGCAGTAACAATAATAATAATAATAACAGTAACAACTCCTTAATTGATTCTTCTCAAATGTAGACCTTAATTATTCTTGAAAGTAAGAACAATATTACCAAAAATTGTAAAAAGGAATCAAAAGTATTGAATAACAACTTTTCCAATTAGTTCCCTTAATGAATTTAGACAAAGCAATAAGAAGACGTAGTTTGTCTGAATCGTGCAGTAATGTATTTGCGCGTCAACACACTTCGAACAATCTGATCCATCACACATGGACTTGTCATAGGAATGTATATATGAAATTAATAAAGAGTTATGAGGCGAGGAAATAAATTTACATCAAGTTAAAAAGACATATTGAAGGTCAAAATAACATTGAAGATCACTAAACCAAATAACAGAGGTAATAGTACATCTACCCTGCCTGGTATCAAAACAAAGTTTACCAAGGAAGGTTTAGTGTGATGAAGAATTGTTCCTTTGAACTCATAAAGGTGGTTTAAACATCCTAATCACACTAGGGCTTCCACAAACTTTATGATACGTCCCAAACATGTCCTGTCTCTATAATATGTTTGGCAATAGATGAGCTAGGTCTCCTGTTCTCACCATTAATGGGTTCTGGAGTTTCTATTTGTTTCTGGATCCATTTAGGAATATGCTCTGAAGCCCTTACTTACAGAGATCGATGAGTCCTCCCTATGTATGTGTGCCCACACGTATAGGTCAGAAGCGTCACGGAGAGCATTTCCAAAAGATTGCAGGCTTTTGTCAACATCATCCTTCACTGGCTTTATACTGAAGATCAAATGTTCAGCTGGCCAGTCAGAAAGAATTAGCAACAAGAAACTCTGGTGAGAACAAACCAACCAAGAACCTATCGCTGAAAATATATGTCGGAGAAAATGGAGATGGGTGGGAATACGTTGAGGGGACCTTAGAATGACATCGCACTCTAGATCATCGCTTGAGTGGAATCCAAATGGAAAGTGACGAGTGGGTGGTCCTAGAGCGACGTGAGGAGATCGTGCGAGGAGGAGATGAGATATTATAAGCAATCGTGAGCTTAGCTAAAGAGGACAGCAGAAAATTAAACAAAGTAGTGATGTGTTGTTGAAGCCCTATGTTCCACTCGAAACCCACAGGAACAATAATAATAAAAACTGCCTATGGTGCTGACTGTTTGAATACTGAAATACGTTGATAAACGCTGACTATCGTGTTGATCTTTTCGCATTCATCTGTTTATAACTCTGTTGCCTGAGGCGGAAGTTATTGAAAACAATTAAACAGTCTAGTAACCTAGGGGACGATTTATTTACGTTTGAAATGAAGGGTATTGGTTTCAAGTCTTGGTTTTTGGAATGAAGGTATATCCAACTAACGGTTCCCAAATAAACCTAACAAGCTATTCAAAATTTGCTATTTTCTTATTCCTTTACCTCCCCAATGGAAAATAGGGCTTCAAACTAAAGGCCTGAAGTCTTCGTAGCAGTTGTGTTTATTTTTATGGGATGGAGTTGCTAGCCTCATGCCCAGCCTTCCCTCTTTACCAGTCTCACTACGGGCTTAGAGAGGTAAAGGAGTGCATCGACCGGGGATCGAACCCTGTACCACATGTGTGGTTGGCGAGCATTCTACCTCTGTGCCACCGAAGCACGATGTTTGCTATTAACCATCATTAATTGAGTAAGACTAGACTAACCTTGAAGACATCACCACACCTTTAGATCTAGGATCTAAGTGTGTGATTAGAGTCCGATAACATCAGTCCATTGAAAATTAATCGATTGGAAATTCAAATAATAATTTCAGAGAATAGAAAATAATTGTCCCTTATAATCATTTATATTCTCAATATAACGTGTTACTTAATTACAATTCCTCTATTGTTCTTATTCTTATCACTTTTTACAACAGCTCACCTACCCTTACAATGTTGGATACCACAAGAATTCTCACGTAGTTGGGAAGAATATGCTGAACACTACTGTTGGGTAACCAACACATATTTTAGCAATCTTAAATCAAATATTCCACCTGTACACGAACGTACAACTATTGTACGTTATTATCAATGGGCAACATTTGTGTTTATATTGCAAGCTGCAGGATTTTTCCTTCCATGTTTAATTTGGAGACTGTTACAGGTAAGTTTTCATTTATTACTATTATTATTACTGTCATTATTCTTTTTATTCCCTTGGCTTTCAAGTAAAAGGCTGGTCTTCGGTAGCCCATACACATTCCACCCTGTTACCTGGGGCCCATTTTACCTGGCTGACCGATTCCCCTTAGGCATTTATTTCCTCTTTACAGGATCTGATCAAAGTCCACCTTGGACCTATGTACAATTCGTTAATTTACTTTCAGGTCCCACATGAGGGCCTGCTTAGCATCTAATGTCAACCAGTAGTCTTCTTAGCGTGTGTCCGATCCATCTTCATTTCCTTCAGCGTATTTGCTGGGCGATAGATACTTGGTTGGTTTGTTGCCTGTGACAATTCCTTGTTGCTCATCGTTTCTGGTCAGCAGTGTGGTCTTCAGTATGTAGAAAGGACAGATGTTGATAAAACTTTTCCAGTAGCTGGTTGGAAAAGCATTTTTGTTATGCGTTCGCTTAATTTCTGAAGTAGTGATTTAACATTGGTGCTGAAAATTCCGATCTTGTTCCTTGTGCTGGAAGAAGGCCAGTCTAAACATGCATTTTGGTTTTGATTACACAATCATTCTGACTGAGGGTGGAATTTGACTATAGTTTCACTGAATGCTGGTGAATTAGGATGCGAACGAGTTTCATTTTTAAATCACTTCGATACGATGGAGAAGATTTGTAGCTCAGGTGGATGATTTTGATGTAGTTGTGTTCTCTGACCTAGATGGTTTATTTGCGAATCTTTCATCGCTCTACTAGGCGACATCGTCGGCGCATACTTCAATTCGACGAAGTGAGCTTTTAGATTTCTGCACGAGTATATTAATCATCTCTCCTGGCGAGTGACCTCGAATGTGATTGGTTGCTTTTATGTGTTTCCACACCTTCTAGGCTACTTGTATTGGAACTGATTGTTTCCTTTGACTTAAACTTTGACTCTCTTTGTGTGAGGTTTCCTTCTTATCGGTTGGTAAATTTTGTCTATCTCGATGTGTCTATTGATTGATGATTCACTGGAATACCATGCTTCTAAAAATTCTCTAACATTCTTGGTGTTTCCTCTGTCTAATATTTGAATGTTGGTTGTCCCAGTCGAATTGATGTCCATGGTTGTCTGTATGTAGTGATATTAGGGAGTGGATATCATGTCTTTCGACGGCTAGCTTATGTTCATGGATACGAAGACGAAAGGGACGTCCGCTTTGACCAATGTAGTGCTTTTCTCAGTTATTGCAACTTATTTTGTAGATGATGTTGGTTTTATCTTCTTTCGTTGTTGAGTCCAAGGTCACCAGCAGAGATGATTAATAAACTCGTGGAGAAATGTAAAAGCTCACTTCAAAGAATTGAAGTATGTGCTGAAGATGTCGCCTCGTAGAGCGATGGAAGCTTCGCAAATTAACTATCCAGCTCAGAGAACAGAACCACATCTAAATCACTTTGGTTTGTCTGGAAAGTACTAATCTCCGTGTGTTTTCCAATTAGTCCCAACAAACAGTATCTTCTTAGTCTCATTCACTTATTGGTAAATTCTCTGACTGCATTACTAGTTGACTAGGGTTTAAATCTCACATCGGCCTGCTGTAATATATCGGATACACCTGGCTGATCCATGGTAACATGCACGTAGCAAGAACAACAATTTTCTCTGTTCAAGTCCACCAAGGTAAAAGGTTAGACGCAATCAAGATACAGTGATCTAAACACTCTTGAATGGTTTATATTTCTATTGTGGCGTTTTAGGGAATTGGATTGACTTAGTTTCAGTTGTTTGATTCCGTTACAAATGAGCACAGTTTACAGAGATCATTGGAAAACAAAGAGCACCAGGACAGTAATTTCATTTAGCACTGCAAACGACGACTCCAATAGGTTACGAGATCAACTTAAATATTATTCACCAGCTCATTTTAGACTACTGAATGGATGTTTTGAAGCTGTACTCAGAAGTCGTGACCAGTGGTGTTCACCATGTCAAGGTCAAGTGGATGTTCATGAAAGATATTCGTTGAAGACAGGCCTATATCACCAAGTGACGAATTTAGAATTCACAGGTCACTGAATTTCGACCCAGATGGCTAAATGATCAACGTGTTTGGTTTCATAACGTGAAGGTGCCGGGTTCGATCCCAAGTGGAGTTGTGGGCGTGCACAAATGAAGACCGCTTGACTTATCGGCCAACGCCAACGGATCGATCACTGATGAGGTCTCAACACGGATACAGAAGGATCGTTTGGCATTTATCAGCCAACTTACACCATATTTGACTTAGTAGAAGTGACATCCGGCTGGCTATCGATCAAACGATGTGTGTACTGCTCTGCAGTTCACTCTGTCCTCCTTTATGGCTGTGAGCGAGAAATGGTCATTGAAAGTGGAAGATACGAAAAGGCCGGCTTGCTGTCTTTGACCCTAGGTGTCTGCGTTCTATCTCTCCTGTTAGGTGGTATAATAGGGTGAGTAATATTGAGGTTATTCTTTGATCGAGTGCTAAGTAAGGACAGAAAATCAATCAACGAGTTTGAGGAATTACATCGATTGAGATGGTTAGGACATGTTTTACGCATGCCTAGGCACTGCCATACTTGACGGACAAAATTAGCTGACATAGGACCAGTGAGGTTGGAAAGGCGTTATAGGTAGTGGTGGTCAAACCAAAACATGGCTTCATCAGTCAATGAAATCCAAAAGAGTTAGATCGAGCTAGCCACATAGAGAGGTGTATAGTGCCTGACTGGTTGGAGTCCTCGGGATGGTATCAACTAATGGTGGTTGGAGACAATTGATGATATAGCTCAAAATCGTTCTCAATGTCTGGCGCAAATGCATCCACTCTTTGTGATTTGTAATGTACAGTAAAGCTCTGTTGTTCTTCCATATTACTAGTCTTTCCCCCTCACTCTCACTTCTATTTGTTATCTCTCTTTTGAACCTCTCCTTACTCTCTTCTCGTGCTTTGTGTGGTGCATGGAGTTTTGCAACTGGAACTGCTGCACATATGTTCAAAGTGGTTCAACGTTGAAATCAGTCAGTCAGTCACCGTTGAAGAGTCTCAAGCAAGGATGAAACAGCTGTACAATACACCTTGGTTTCCAGTGATCTTTCTCTGACTGATGTTGGTTCCCAATGAATTCTAACAACCGTAAATTGGATGATTTATGACTTTTTTTCAATATCTTTGCTTTCTGAATGAAACATAAGACTTCAAGTTTTGAAGTTTCCGTAGCGGAGATGTTGTTTTTCTTTAAGGGGCAAAGTCACTAGCCTCGCTCTCAACCTTTTATCCTTCACAGACTTATTATTAACTGGTAAACTAGACAAGGCTTAGTGAATGTATCCTCCGGAAATCGAACCCGAACCATGTTAACGATTGGCTAGCATTCTACTATTCAGCCACAAAGACTGCTCGAAACTGATTGGTTTGTGATAGTGAAAGCACATTTCATCTCAATATTATTTAACAGTATATTTTATTATTGTATTACATTACAGAACCATTCAGGATTTCATGTTCAACGAATAATGCGTAGTGCACTCCGTGTTAACTGTACACCAACTGATTCAACCCAAACTATAACAGATGGTCTTGCACGATACATTGACAATGTTATCTATCATAGATCCTATAAAACTTGGCGTGTACCATCCTCCACAGATAAATCACGCAGTAAACGAAAGATATCACGAATAGATGCTGCTATAAAATCTGCACAAAAGTCCACCATCTGTACATCGTCTGAATCGACAACATCCTCACATGATGAAACTGGGACAGAGACAAAACTCGTCAAATTTGAAAAACGACCCACATCTTCATCATATCAATATAGAGCCCTACCTAGTGAATCTACCACCTTGCCTAGAAGTCATAAAAAGTCTCGTGCACCTCAACCACCGGTAACAACATCCACGACAACTCCTACTACCACTACTACAAATTCATCGAAATTAAACTCTGATCAGATAATTTATGCATCGAATCTAGTCTCAAAGCCCAGTGTAAATGTGATACAACCTAAAGTGAGGCCAGCGCCTAGACGGAATCTGCGTAGAGGTGGAGCATCAGCATCATCGTCGACGTCATTATGCTGTAATAAATACGGTTTATGTTTTACTGGTCTTTCAAATTTCGATAAAAGTAGTCAGAAGTCAGGGTTGGAGCAACCACTTGTATCCACATCGAAAGTGACGTCGAAAACAACATCAACAGCCTCAGTAATGGTGACATCGACTAATCAAGCTCACAGTCCAAGTAAGTTGAATTGTATTAATTATTTTAGCATGCCAAACACAAACTGTTTTCAGTAAATGAAATATCCCCATATTGAAATCAAAACAAGATTTTGAGCGAACGATTGTTTTCGATAACTTCTTCTTCAGGCTCTACAGTTATAAATCCATGAATAATAGAGTACATATAGCCAATAAAGGCAAATGAAAATAATATCAGAAACTGTATTGGGGTGCATGTGTAAGTTGAGATGATAGTCCATTAGTTAACATAGTCAATCAAGTGTGTATAGGGTGTATAGTCAGAAAAATGTGATGAAGTGTGAATGAACAATTGGGTGATATAGTGCTGTTTTATAGTCAACAGAATACAAGTGTCATTGGGGTGAGAGAATTGCGATGACCACAAAATAATTACAAACACACATTAACAAAGGGGACACTGAATGTGAGGGCTGACCGATAATGTCTAATGATAAAATAAAGAGGCTAAATTGTAAATTGTAATAAGATGTTACAGAGTTGGTAGGCTTAGTGTAAAATCACAAAGGTTGACAAAATTAAGGGTAACAATGAGGTGAAATAAACTGGGTGGAGAAATGGATAATAAAGACATGATATCACAAAATGATAATAATGGTAATAATAATACGGAAAATTATGATCCTGGTGACCTTATAGTGGGCCAGGATAGACAGAGAGAGTGAATAAGTTTTTTCTGTACCCATAAGTCTGGTCTTTCTCTATTAATCTCTAAGGCCTCAGCTATGGCTAGGAGGCGTAATCGTGTGCCTTTGGGGAGATTGTTCGGTACTCGATACACAACTGTAAATGACTCATCTACTTTGATGCTGTGTTCGCTATCCACTAGATGAGACAGAATTGCACTATTTAATGGTTTGGTTGCTCTTTTCCCAAGCCAAACAGGAATATGTTCACGAGTGCGTAAAGATAAATTCCTTTGGGTACGACCTATATAACTAGCTCCACAGGAGCAGTTGAATTTATATACACACATTGATGTCGCCATTTTGGGTAATCTATCTTTAATGCACAGTGTCAATATCGGTTTGGTTGAGAAAGTGACATGCAGTTTTGCGGCACTGAAAGTTCTTTCAATTGATCTTGTTAATCTACGGTTTAATATGCCACTGGATATATCGCCTTTGAATTGTAAATTTAAGTAGAGCTTTTTCTTACTTACTGTTAGTTACAAACTGTTTTGATTTTACTGTCTAACGAATGTTCTGGAAACGAAAGCTATAAGTGACATGTGTCTCTTGATAAACTACCTGTTCCTATTCGATAAGATGTTGGCTGACTAATCACCCACTTTCCATTCATCATTCAACCATATTTCTAAATAGCGTGATACTATATATTAATAGTCAACCTGAGTGGTTTTCACATACACCTTTACAGTACAGTGATGTTCGTATTATCCCCCGTTTATGACTACGGAACCCTATTGATTGTCAACCGTTTTAGCCTATCATCAATTGAAGGTCATCTAAACCAAAGTCATTTAAGCCTATGCATATATGGAACTGCTGTCAAGTTCGTCTTTCACTGTTGATCCGAGACAGTTAAAACTCTCTACTTCAAAGGTCTGTCTTCTTTCTTTCTTCCTTACCTTGTGTATTTCAGTGGTGCTGTTCATAGTGATGGGTAGTGATTAGGACAGTTGACCTGCAAAACTACTAATTAGGAAGTTTGTTAGTACAGCAGTCTCGTTAACTACCAAGTTCACGGAAAATTCCCATCCGAACGTTAATAAAAACAAGACACGTAGTTCAGCAAAGAGGCTCTTGTCAGCGGCGAATTCATTCTTCTCTTAAGCTGTACAATCCCATTTATCTACATTTTTTTGCACGAAAGGCATGAGCTGTCACAAACATATTTGTTAATACTAGTCAATCCATACGAGGAGCTGAATAAGTGTATTAGAGTTACACAAAAAGATGAAGGAGTCGATTGTGATTAGAATGCACATAGGAACGATGGAAAATATGGAATTATATAAGAATTCTGAACAGTCACAAGAGTTATCAGGAGTTAGAAAAAAAACAAAAAAAATATATCAAGCCAGTAATAATCAATATGGTTGTTACCATGATAGTAGAAGTGGTTGAATAATTTTTTTCGTATGCATAGCTCCAGTTTGTCTGACTGAATGGGTAGAGATTCAGCAATACGAAATAGACGAAATCGTATTGCCTCTGGCAGGTTGTTCTTTATCTTGTGGACTACTTTGAAGGAGGCATTTGCTGAGATGGAATGACCAGTGTTTACAAGGTATTTGATTGTCACACTGCTTTTAGAGCTACTACTACGTTTCTGCAACCATGTGGGATAGTCTTATTGAAACATTTTGAACAGGATACACGTTGAACGATCAATGTATCTGACTCTGCAGCAGCAGATTGACTGATATACACACATAGAAGTGGTCAGATGCGAGATCTTATCCTTTGGTCTTCTGTAGATCACTGGAAGACACTACACTCCTCGTCGCTGCTACAAACAAAATCCTTCCTAAAGAAACCAAGTTGTATTTGACGGTAATATCTCATACACGGTGACGTTTCAAACACAACCTATTCTTCTTAGTCAATCATTTGTTATCACAGAACCTTGGAACTCTAATTGTTTGGCTCTTACACTTCCTTCCTATTTGTCATCAAAGTAGTAGAATTTGCCAGATTTCAGGGATAGATAATGAGCGAATCCTGTTGCATCTGCTTTAAGTTAATTCGACAAATAAAGCTTCATTTGTAAATCTCTCCTCCCACAGACCATCTTTTCTTATCCTCTAGTACGGTTGTGTGTAACTGCATACAATAGTATAGCTGAACTTTGTTTCTAGATTATTTATATAATTAGGGTATGCTAGTCTAGATTTTGCTCAATTTTTGCCCTATGCTAATCTGATTTGCTGGCTGTAGCCTACTACTTTAACTTACATCGTAATCACTGACTCTAATGGGTTCCATAGGATTCTTGAATCAACGTTATTTGTTCCTAAGAGAGTTTATAGAACTACAGTAATGAATATTTTTAATACCTTAGTGCATTCGTTAGACAACTGACGTTCTCATTCTGGTACCTCTCAATCCATTAATATTTTACTTACCAGTGTTTAGACGAATGATTCAAATCAAAACGATTGTGGACTGTAAATATAATAATAATAATATTAACTTTTGTCTAAAAGAAATGAGGTTAATATATCACTTTGTCTGCAACATGAAAGTTTTGATTTGACGTTTCATGGGATGTACGTGGAAACATCCAATGTTATTTCAAATTGAAAATACCCTTAAGACTCTCAGTTGTGCTTTGGTTACCCAGAAAAGCTGCTGTCTTTTGTCTAAAACTAAGAATAAGCCTTCATAATTACATTGTGGGTAAAATTTATCTTGGTAAAGTTTCACAGTGTTTGTTATACAGTAATATTTACTGATGACCACGTTCCGAGCACAATTTATTACTGCTCATAATCATATCAAGGCACTTTCACAACTTTCTAACTTCATTTATATAATTCCATTATTTTCCATTGCTTGACTTGATTGGTAGTAGTATTTTCCATATTTCCGGTATGAGTGATGAGTCGTTCCCAATGCACGTGTTTGGTGTAGATTCTATGAACAAAGATTCAGTAATCAATCTCTATCTCTTTCCACCTACCTATATTACTTTTTTTGAATTTTAACCCTCTCCCACCCTATTGTGTGATTGTGTGTTAATGCATACAGTGCTATAGCTGAGTTTTTTTCTAAATTACCTATCTTCATGGGGTCAGCCATTCTAACCTTAGCTAAATTCTTCGTAATTTTAGTCGACAGTATGACTTCTACTGCCACATAAAGCTGTAAGCTTTAGATGGTTAGGGGCGATCGACACGATGCCCTCGATCTAATTGGCACTATTCATAAAGGCGTATTCGCAGCTTTGAAATAACTAATTTTCTCTTGGAGACTCAAACCCGCACCATTCAATGCTGCAGTAAGGGTACTTACCACAGAACTATCTGTGTTCACGTCTAACCTCATGTAGGATTAGTATTCGTACACTGATTGGTTACATTGCCACATATATGAACATTAGTGTTGGCTATGTCAGTCAAGTTTGCAATGTAGTTACTCACTATCGCAGTACACTGTCAGGTGATGTAGAATTAATTTTCTAGAACGACTAACTATTGTCGGATTACTGGACAAAAACAGGCAGAACATTACTGTAGGAAAACGTTTGGCAGGGTGTCACCTTAGAAACACTTCAAGGTAAAATCATCAGAGATTCTGTAAGACAAATGAATATGTCTGTTCAGCGCCCACTAGCACTCTATACGTTTACAACACAGATGCTTTAACGAATACTCAGAGGTAGGAGATATGACATGAATTTAGGTCTTACAGTGATATCTCTCCAGGCTTACTGGTCCAAGTAACTCAATAGTGTAATAAATTGAAGTTTACTTGTTTGAAGCCTGAAGATAAGGCTGAAAATCACTGATATAACAGTATTTGATCTTCCCTTCATCAATAATAGCATAGATACCTTTTCATCCCGATTTATTGGTATTATTCTCTTGGGTTCCGAGTGGAATATGGGGCTTCAACAGCACAATTCCATTTCACTCTCTTCTCTGAACTCTTTTTTAACTGGCTCCACGACTGTTGTCCATAAGTTTTCATTTCTTCTACATATGATCTCCTGAATGTCGCTTTAGGACGTCCAAACCGTCGTTTCCTGTTTGGGTTCCACTAGAAGGGCCGGCGAGCGATGTTTTCTTAGCTTTTGAAGAATTCTTCTCCCATTCCTTACGCATTGCTACATTAAGCATGTTTCATTTTCAAATTGTAACAATCTGAAATATTGCCGGTGTTCGAACCCCGGTCATTGACGCACTCCTTTACCTCGCTAAGCCAGTAATAAAACTAGTAAAGAGGGAAGGTTGGGCATCAGGTTACCACTCCCATCCCGCAAAAATAAACACCACTGCTACCGAAACTTCAA